ATCTTATGTCGTGCAAATCACGTACTATTGGCTACGCATGCCAGTAATAAACAAACAATAAATAAGCCGTCATAACCTTTATTTTCACTTATATAAACAAACAATAAATGGTTGGTCATGGCCTTTATTTTCACTTTCATCTAAGGTAAATTAATGTGTTTGGCTTTTTATGGTTGTTGGGATGAGAGAGGATCCTTTTCACTAGATATCGGTCTAAACCCATGTCGTACTGTGATTGTCCTTCCGTTACAACATTAAATTAAGAGGGTCCTACCCAAATTTTAAAAAAAGAAAAAAAATAAAAGGTTAATTCAAAGAAACCACTTCCTATATAAAGCTCCCTCAAGTGTCCAACTAATGCAATGCAATGCAAGTAGTAGATGGAAATAAGTCTCACACTGGCCACCATCCCCACATCAACATACACTACACTGGAGGACACATACCCTACACCTGTGGGTGGCACCTACCCTTACCCAAGAACTTAAAGGACCCCCCACCCAACTCCCTTTGGCCGGAGCTCTCTCCCCTCCGACGTAAATTTTGCAGGGAACTTTGCATTGAACCCCCATGGTGGTTCTTAACAAAGAGGTATCAAATCAACTGGAGTGGCGAGTTACCATTGGAGATGGTTCGTCTATGCAACTAAGGTCGGACCCCAGGTGCTTTCAGACGGCTTGGGAGTGGGTTTTCGAGGTGGTTTTGGGATGGAAAATGGAAGTTGAGGAGCTTATTCAAAGGATTTGTAAGATTGGGAAGGAGGATCCAAGGAAGGTGGCTCATTGTTTCAAGGTGGGGCTGGCTCTTACTTTAGTGTCCTTATTCTACTACATGAGGCCCTTGTATGAGGGAGTCGGAGGCAACGCGATGTGGGCTGTGATGACAGTCGTTGTGGTGTTCGAATCCTCCGTTGGTAAGTTGGCTTTGGTAGTGGCTTTGGTAGAGAGAGAGAGAGAGAGAGAGAGAGCACTTAGCTTGAGGTCTCCCATGAAACTCGAGAAAAAATAGATATAACGAATAAGGTTAAAGTTATGTTTGGCCATGCAGGATAAATCCTGCTTAACTAGGACTCATACATGACAGTGGCCAAACGGTTTTCTATAAAGAATATAGACATAAGACTAATACGAATAATAGGGGCCCTAAAGCTACATTGAGCATTTCCTTTTTACTGTATTAGTTGCAAGAAAGCCGGGTTAACATAATAGTTCGGAATCTGTTGTGCATTAGTCTGTCCAAATCATTAATTTTATCACGTTATTAGTTTATTAGTTTTCAGTTTTTATTTATTACAAGATTATTTACTACTGATAAAAAAAGTCACAATCACTTATAACTGTCAAATTGAAATCGGGTAATTAAAACTGTGTGATATCTCTACACAAAATCCATGAAAAAAAAATTTAAAATTTTGATAGCGGACAAGGGCAACCCCAAGATTTCACATTTTATGACTAGAAATGTTTGTGACCTTTTTGCACCAAAGGTAAACATTCGCATTACATACTTTCCAACAAGTTTTACATGGAATCGATATTTATATGTTTAGTGTGGCATGAATGGTATGGATGATGCAGGTGCGACTTTGGGCAAAGGTTTAAACAGGGCATTGGGAACGATTCTAGCAGGTGCGTTGGGCATCGGAGTGCACTATGTTGCTGAGAAGTCAGGCCCCACTATTGAGCCTATCATCCTCGGACTATCCGTATTTCTAATAGGTAGGTAGGCCTCATCTTCTTTGCCAAACATGACCAGACACAGCATAATGCATGGGCATTTTGGTTAGTTCAATCATCTACAGGAGATCTTTATGAACTACAGGAGATCTTTATGAACTTGGACAACCTAGGGACAATGCCCTTAGAAAGGATGAGTTCCCGAAATTCCCTCTGGGTAGACCATTTAATAACAAGGAAATTTATCAAAATACGACCCACCATAGATGAACCATTTAACATTTTACCTATTTGTATTCCAACTCAGGACTCTGTGTTTTTCTATGTGCATTTTGAAACCAAATTAAAAGATATGGATAAAGTGTTAAATTGCTCATCATGGGTAATTTGATAAATTTCCCTTAATAATGAATAGAATCATTCTCTCTTTGGCCCATTTATCAGCCATTTATGAATGAAGAACGAGACACTTGGTCTGCTTCATTATTCATGGGTGAGCCCCTTTTGTAACCCCGCTTATTAACAAAATACTGCCAAAACAATGAATGAGTTCGACAAAATAATTGTTCTCCGCATATTAATGAATAACTTCCTGAGTGGAGTTGTTGGGATGTACAAACGGGGCCTAAGTTTTCAAGAACATTGGCAAATCCATGCCCCTAACAAGGAGTTGACCATTGTGGGTGCAGCTTCAGCCGCAACCTTTTCTAGATTCATACCAAAAGTGAAACAACGCTATGACTACGGGGTGATGATATTCATACTCACCTTTAGCCTGGTCTCGGAGTCGGGGTATAGGGTGGAGAAGCTGTTCGATATGGCACACGAGAGGCTCTCAACTGTAGCCATCGGGTCATGTGCATGTGTGCTGATAAGCATGCTCATCTGCCCCACATGGGCCGGCCAAGACCTCCATAAGCTCATCGCCAAAAACTTACAAAAGCTTGCAGCATCACTGGATGGTAAGCACCCTTTCTCACCAGGGCAGGAACACCCCTAAAAACTTAAAACGCTTTATGCATGAGGGAAAGTTCAGTCTTTTTTGTGCATTCCTAGATAAGATTGCAGGAACATGATGGTAATTAGCTCGAGGCAGGTTCTAAATGGTTGCTACAATAGTGGCAAAGAGACATGTTCCACCACAGTACAAACTCCAATGTCAACACATTATTAATTTGCTTCTACCATGACGTTTGACACTCTTCGATGTGAAAACAATAAACTACGGACATCTCATCATTAGCTTTCATTCTCTATAAAAAGCCAAGAGGCTCCCAAACCATTCAAAAAATTTATTTAGACTTTCATCTATTTCGCCCAAAGCCTGCGTTTCTTGATTCTTTTAAGACCATTCAGTCAATTAGGATACCTCATATCCATAAATAATGGCTTTTAGACTTTGGAACATTTTTTATTTGCTCACATAACTGCATTTCTTGCTCAATTTTTTGATCATCTCCCAAACAGTTATGTCATGACTTTAAAGTACACAAGCTTTTTCTGTTTCTCCTCTTTTTGGTGGAGTGATCATTAAATGTGCGTGTGGACTACACTATCAGGATATGTAGCTGAGTACTTTGAGGAGAAGGACGTGGAGGGCATAAGCATCATTGACAAGGCTACATTAAAAGGCTATAAATGTGTTCTTAACTCGAAGGCAACAGAGGAATCTCTGGTAATTTGCTTCACATAAATAATATTCATGCATATATGTGTATGTAAATGCATCTAGATATACTTCTAACGAGCAAATGGAGAGTAAGGCTCTCACATAAGCTCTCGACCCAGAGACTAAATATGTAGTTGTTGACCCCACAAGTGCTAATCAGTGTATTTGATGCCCATAGAAAATTGGAAAGTAGCCAAACATGCACCATGATATTATTATATCTCCTAGCTAAAGGATTTGATATATTATTCGTAAGCCATATATATGCACATTGGACTAAGTTCAAATCTTGAAGTGAAGACTATGGTGTATGATATGATACCCGCAGGCAAACTTTGCCACATGGGAGCCAGCACATGGCAATTTCGGCTTTCGCCACCCATGGAAACAATATCTCAAGATTGGGACAACATCACGCTTCAGTGCTTATTGCATTGAGGCACTCAGTGCCTGCACCAGCTCAGAAGTCCAGGTTTGTCTTCAAAACCATCTCACCGGCTCCCTAACATGATTCCTTCATTTCTTTGTGTGTACATGAGAGAAAGAGAGAGAGAGAGAGAGAGAGAGAGAGAGAGTTA